CTGTGTATAACCTGGTTTGAAAGGACACATGGTCTGTGAGGCCTGGTCCGCACACACATACACTGTGGAAAACCTGTTCTGAAAGGACACATGGTGTGTAAGGCCAGGTCAACACACACATACACTGTGTATAACCTGGTTTGAAAGGACACATGGTCTGTGAGGCCTGGTCCGCACACACATACACTGTGGATAACCTGTTCTGAAAGGACACATGGATAATGAGGCCAAAGAGACTGAGGCACATCATTATAATAATCAATAATCTATGGAGGATTGCTTTTTTAAGAGTTTGAATTGTCTCTGCAAACACGTGTAGAGCTTATTCTTCAGTCTACTGCCAAACTTTGTCATGTATTCCCTTGATACCTTCACTGAATTCCAGTTATTCCTAGTTTCAACTGGCTTCACCGTCTCTATCCTGCACTTAAATAGATGGTACATCTATAATCACTCCATTCTAAAAGAAAATGAGATCAAGCAACAAAAGGTTTACAGACATAACTGCCTCTTACCAATAGAGACGTGTCAATCACACACAAACTATATCTGTATCCACCAGAACTCAACTGCCAATCTGCAAGCATGCATCACATCTAGGGGTGGGCGATATGGACAAAAATAAATATCTTGATACTTTATACCCAACTCCCGATAACGACATTGTCACGATATCTTTAAAATCAAAAATGGTTACACAAAATGATCTGCAATGTTTTGCTTGCCATGGCATCTATAGATAAGAGACAGTGTAGATCAAAAATGAAGCTTTTTATTTTCTGAAGTGCTACACACATCTTTGCAAAACATGCACTAACATATATTAACATTAAAAATCAGATTCAAGAAACACAGAAAAAACACATCCAAAAAGGCTCAATATTTACTGAAATGTACAAATAAAGCAGTGATTGGCTTTTTAGGCACACATTAGACCAATGGGCATCTTTCCTTCTCTAATTGTAATATGTATTGGAAAATAAAAAAGATAAAGCATATCTTCAAATTGGCTTTCACAATATTATTGTCTACGATATATTTTGCCCACTCCTAATCACTTCCCCACCAGGTGTGTCACTGGTCTAAGGCGTGTCCAGGTGTGTCACTGGTCTAAGGCGTGTCCAGGTGTGTCACTGGTCTAAGGCGTGTCCAGGTGTGTCACTGGTCTAAGGCGTGTCCAGGTGTGTCACTGGTCTAAGGCGTGTCCAGGTGTGTCACTGGTCTAAGGCGTGTCCAGGTGTGTCACTGGTCTAAGGCGTGTCCAGGTGTGTCACTGGTCTAAGGCGTGTCCAGGTGTGTCACTGGTCTAAGGCGTGTCCAGGTGTGACACTGGTCTAAGGTGTGTCACTGGTCTATGGCGTGTCACTGGTCCATGAAGTGTCCATGGCGTGTCACTGGTCCATGGCGTGTCCAGACGTGTCATTGGTCCATGGCGTGTCACTGGTCCATGGCGTGTCCGGGCTTGTCATTGGTCCGTGGCGTGTCACTGGTCCATGACGTGTCACTGGTCCATGGCGTGTCCAGGCTGCTCACACCCAAACACGTCATGGCCCATGACACGCCTAGACACGCCATGGACCAGTGACACGCCATGGACCAGTGACACGCCGTGGACACGTCTCACGGAGCAGTGACACGCCTGGACACGCCATGGACACGTCATGGACCAGTGACACGCCTGGACATGCCATGGACCAGTGACACGCCCAGACACGTCATGGACCTGTGACACGCCCGGACACGCCATGGACCAGTGACACGCCTGGACACGTCATGGACCAGTGACCGCCTGGACACGCCATGGACCAGTGACACGCCTGGACACGCCATGGACCAGTGACACGCCTGGACACGCCATGGACCAGTGACACGCCCGGACACGTCATGGACCAGTGACACGCCCGGACACGTCATGGACCAGTGGCACGCCCGGACACGTCATGGACCAGTGACACGGCGTGGCGTGTCCAGGCGTGTCACTGGTCCTTGGTGTTTCCAGGCGTGTCACTGGTCCATGGCGTGTCCAGGCGTGTCACTGGTCCATGACATGTCCATGGCGTGTCACTGGTCCATGACGTGTCCAGGCGTGTCACTGGTCCTTGGCGTGTCACTGGTCCATGGCGTGTCTAGGTGTGTCACTGGTCCATGGCGTGTCCAGGCGTCTCACTGGTCCATGACGTGTCCGGGCTGCTCACACCTGGACACGCCGTGGACACGTCATGGACCAGTGACACGCCTGGACACGCCATGGACCAGTGACCCATGGACACGTCATGGACCAGTGACACGCCTGGACACGTCATGGACCAGTGACAAGCCCGGACACGTCATGGACCAGTGACACGGCGTGGCATGTCCAGGCGTGTCACTGGTCCATGGCGTTTCCAGGCGTGTCACTGGTCCATGGCGTGTCACTGGTCCATGACATGTCCATGGCGTGTCACTGGTCCATGACGTGTCCAGGCGTGTCACTGGTCCATGACGTGTCCAGGCGTGTCACTGGTCCTTGGCGTGTCACTGGTCCATGGCGTGTTTAGGTGTGTCACTGGTCCATGGCGTGTCCAGGCGTCTCACTGGTCCATGACGTGTCCGGGCTGCTCACACCTGGACACGCCGTGGACACGTCATGGACCAGTGACACGCCTGGACACGCCATGGACCAGTGACACGCCATGGACACGTCATGGACCAGTGACACGCCTGGACACGTCATGGACCAGTGACACGCCCGGACAAGCCATGGACCAGTGACACGTCGTGGACACGTCATGGACCTGTGACACACCGTGGACACGTCATGGACCAGTGACACGCCCGGACACGCCATGGACCAGTGACACGCCATGGACACATCAGGGACCAGTGACACGCCGTGGACACGTTACGGAGCAGTGACACGCCATGGACACGTCATGGACCAGTGACACGCCCGGACACGCCATGGACCAGTGACACGCCCGGACACGCCATGGACCAGTGACACGCCGTGGACACGTCATGGACCAGTGACACCCCTGGACACGCCATGGACCAGTGACACACCTGGACACGCCATGGACCAGTGACACGCCTGGACACGCCATGGACCAGTGACACGCCCGGACACGTCATGGACCAGTGACACGCCCGTACACGCCATGGACCAGTGACACGCCCGGACACGTCATGGACCAGTGACACGGCGTGGCGTGTCCAGGCGTGTCACTGGTCCATGGCGTATCCAGGCGTGTCACTGGTCCATGACGTGTTCGGGCTGCTTACACCTGGACACACCTTAGACCAGTGACACGCCGTGGACACGTCATGGACCAGTGACACGCCTGGACACGCCATGGACCAGTGACACGCCATGGACACGTCATGAACCAGTGACACGCCTGGACACGTCATGGACCAATGACAAGCCCGGACACGCCATGGACCAGTGACACGCCGTGGACACGTCATGGACCTGTGACACACCGTGGACACGTCATGGACCAGTGACACGCCTGGACACGCCATGGACCAGGGACGCGCCATGGACCAGTGACACGGACCAGTGACCTGGACCCAGACCTGACACGCCGTGGACACGTCATGACACGACCGTGTGGACCACACGTGGACACGTCATGGACCAGTGACACGCCTGGACACGCATGGACCAGTGACACGCCTGGACACGCCATGGACCAGTGACACGCCCGGACACGTCATGGACCAGTGACACGCCCGGACACGGCCAGGACCAGTGACACGGCGTGGCGTGTCCAGGCGTGTCACTGGTCCATGGCGTGTCACTGGTCCATGACGTGTCCAGGCGTGTCACTGGTCCATGGCGTGTCACTGGTCCATGGCGTTTCACTGGTCCATGGCGTGTCCAGGCGTGTCACTGGTCCATGACGTGTCCATGGCGTGTCACTGGTCCATGACGTGTCCAGGCGTGTCACTGGTCCATGACGTGTCTAGGCGTGTCACTGGTCCATGACGTGTCCGGGCTGCTCACACCTGGACACACCTTAGACCAGTGACACGCAGTGGACACGTCATGGACCAGTGACACGCCTGGACACGCCATGGACCAGTGACATGCCATGGACACGTCATGAACCAGTGACACGCCTGGACACGTCATGGACCAATGACACGCCCGGACACGCCATGGACCAGTGACATGCCGTGGACACGTCATGGACCTGTGACACACCGTGGACATGTCATGGACCAGTGACACGCCTGGACACACCATGGACCAGTGACACGCCATGGACCAGTGACACGCCATGGACCAGTGACACGCCCGGACACGCCATGGACCAGTGACACGCCGTGGACACGTCATGGACCTGTGACACACCGTGGACACGCCATGGACCAGTGACACGCCTGGACACGCCATGGACCAGTGACACGCCTGGACACGCCATGGACCAGTGACACCCCCGGACACGCCATGGACCAGTGCCACGCCGTGGACACGTCATGGACCAGTGACACGCCGTAGACCAGTGACACGCCGTGGACACGTCATGGACCTGTGACACACCTGGACACGCCATGGACCAGTGACACACCATGGACACCCTGGACACGCCATGGACCAGTGACACCTGGACACGCCATGGACCAGTGACACACCTGGACACGCCATGGACCAGTGACACACTGGACACGCCATGGACCAGTGACCGCCACCACCTGAGATAGAAAAGCCATAATATCAAACACAAAGAACAATGTTAGCTTTATCACTGAGCTGTATTTGTTCACCTCATTAATCTGGTCATGAACAGAACAGCATTGTGAAAGTTACACGGAAAATAAAGGTGAAACCAAACATTTAAATGTCCATATAGAATTCAGTCTTATAATACCTCTTTAAGGCCAAACCTCAAAATCTGTAATATCTTGAATGGATCTACTCTCCAAGACGGTGTGTTCCATTTCCTGGACTTTATGTCACTGCTGAATGGTGGCAGTTAAACCAATGAGAGGCCTCAGATGCTTCTTCACTGCTGTTATCCGCCTTGATGAAACAACTGAAACATTAAGAGAGATGAATTAGAATATTAAAACAACAAAAGACAAAAACATCTAAATAGATGAAGTTTCTATATACCAGTGCTTGTGCCCCCTTTTAAGACCGCAAAGATAATCTGTACCCCCTATTCCTTGTTAAGATATACATTTAAACAGCCCCCATTATTCTTCAAATCCATCAAGGGAGATGAAAAGATGGAAAGAAGGAAATTTTAAGATAAACTAGTGAAACACATCTATTCTATTCCTGTGACATGTTTGGTTAGGATAATTGTAATGATACCACTCAACACACAAGAGCAATATACACTAGAGCTGTAAACAGCAGGTAAATAACTCTGGGACAAGCATTTTCTTCCACAGCACTACACAACCTCAAACTGCAAATATGTTCATTAACCCTAGATTTATCTGTTCCAATAAAGCAACAACAGGTAACAACTTTATTACACATACAGCACCCTGTGTATGTGACACACAGAACAGACCAGGACTGAGAGGACACTGTGTTAGTGAGGACATCTATATTCAATATGAGACATTTACAACATCTGTGTGTGTGACACACAGAACAGACCAGGACTGAGAGGACACTGTGTTAATGAGGACATCTATATTCAATATGAGACATTTACAACATCTGTGTGTGTGACACACAGAACAGACCAGGACTGAGAGGACTCTGTGTTAGTGAGGACATCTATATTCAATATGAGACATTTACTACATCTGTGTGTCACACACAGGACAGACCCGGGCTGAGAGGACACTGTGTTTTTAAGGACATCTGTACTGGATATGAGACATTTACTACATCTGTGTGTCACACACAGGACAGACCAGGGCTGAGAGGACACTGTGTTTTTAAGGACATCTGTACTGGATATGAGACATTTACTACATCTGTGTGTCACACACAGGACAGACCCGGGCTGAGAGGACACTGTGTTTTTAAGGACATCTGTACTGGATATGAGACATTTACTACATCTGTGTGTGATACACAGGACAGACTAGGACTGAGAGAGGACACTGTGTTTTTAAGGACATCTGTACTGAATATGATGTTTCTACTGTTGCTTTGAGATGATTCACGATGAATCCAGAGGGTTGTTTCAATACCATGAACTGTCCCAACCAAATAAAATAAACGTTACAGTTTTTTCCATCTCCCCCCCTGGACTGCCACCTTAACGTGGTGGGGGAGTTTGAGTACTCGGATGATCCTGGGAGCTATGCTGTCTGGGGCTTCATGCCCCTGGTAGGGCCTCCCATGGCAGACAGGTCTCAGGTGACGAGTCAGACGAAGAGCGGTCCAAAAACCACCATGGACAGCACGTTAACTAGAACAGTGACGTCGCCCGGCATGGCGCAGCCGGGGCCCCACCCTGGAGCCAGGCCTGGGGTCGGGGCTCGTATGCGAGCGCCTGGTGGCCGGGCCTTAGCCCACGGGGCCTGGCCGGGCTCAGCCCGAAGGGATGACGTGGGCAGTCCCTCCTGTGGGCCCACCACCTGCAGAGGGGTCCGTGGTGGCTCGGTGCTGAGAGGACTGGGCGGCAGTCGAAGGCGGAGACCTCGGCGACCCAGTCCGCACACACAACATCTGGCTCTTGGGACGTGGAACGTCACCTCACTGGGGGGGAAGGAGCCCGAGCTTGTGGGGGAGGTTGAGCGATACCGACTAGAGATAGTCGGCCTCACCTCCACACACAGCTTGGGCTCCGGAACCCAACTCCTTGAGAGGGGTTGGACGCTCCACTTTTCTGGAGTTTCCCGCGGGGAGAGGCGGCGAGCTGGGGTGGCCATTCTCATTGCCCCCCATCTCAGCCGCCACGTGTTGGAGTTCTCCCCGGTGAATGAGAGGGTCGCGTCCCTCCGCCTCCGGGTGGGGGACAAGTCTCTCATTGTTGTGACGGCCTACGGGCCTAACAGCAGTGCAGAGTACCCGGCCTTCTTGGAGTCCTTGGGAGGGGTACTGGACGGTGCACCGCCCGGGGACTCCGTTATTCTCCTGGGGGACTTCAACGCCCATGTGGGAAACGCCAGTGACACTTGGAGAGGGGTGATCGGGAAGAACGGCCCCCCTGATCTGAACCCGAGCGGTGTTCAGTTGTTGGACTCTGTGCCAGTCACAGTTTGTCCATCACGAACACCATGTTCGAGCACAAGGGTATCCACCAGTGCACGTGGCACCAGGACACCCTAGGCCGGAGGTCGATGATCGACTTTGTTGTCGTATCATCTGACCTTTGACCGCGTGTCTCGGACACTCGGGTAAAGAGAGGGGCGGAGCTGTCAACCGATCATCACCTGGTCGTGAGTTGGATCCGCTGGCAGGGGAAGAAGCCGGTCAGACCTGGCAGACCCAAGCGTATAGTGAGGGTCTGCTGGGAACGTCTCGCTGAGCCCCCTGTTAGACGAACTTTCAACTCACACTTCCGGGAGAGTTTCTCCCAGGTCCCGGCGGAGGAGGGGGACATGGAGTCTGAGTGGACCATGTTCTCTGCCTCAATCGCCGATGCGGCGGCTCGTAGCTGTGGTCGCAAGGTCTCTGGTGCTGGTCCCGGCGGCAATCCCAGAACCCGGTGGTGGACACCGGCAGTAAGGGATGCTGTCAGGCTGAAGGAGTCCTATCGAGCCATGACGGTTCGGGGGACTCCTGAGGCAGCTGTCCAGTACCGGCAGGCCAAGCGTGCCGCGGCCCGGGCTGTTGCAGAGGCAAAAACCCGGGACTGGGAGGAGTTTGGAGAGTCCATGGAGCATGACTATCGGTCGGCCTCGAAGAGATTCTGGCAAACCATCCGGCGCCTCAGGAGGGGGAAGCAGTTCTTTGCCAACACCATGTACGGTGCGGGTGGAGAGCTGCTGACCTCGACTGGGGATATTGTCGGGCGGTGGAAGGAATACTTTGAGGTTCTCCTCAATCCCCCCGTCACGTCCTCTGTTACAGAGGCAGAGGCTGAGGATGTTGGGGCGGATACATCCATCTCCCTGGCTGAGGTCACCAAGGTGGTTGGCAGCCTCCATGGTGGCAAGGCTCCGGGTGTGGATGAGATCCGCCCTGATTATCTAAAGTCTCTGGATGTTGTAGGACTGTCTTGGCTGACACGTCTCTGCAACATCGCGTGGCGATCGGGGGCGGTGCCAATGGAGTGGCAGACTGGGGTGGTGGTCCCTCTCTACAAGAAGGGGGACCGGAGGGTGTGTTCCAATTATCGTGGGATCACACTCCTCAGCCTCCCCGGTAAGGTCTACTCCAAGGTACTGGAGAGGAGGCTACGGCCGATGGTCGAATCTCGGATCCAGGAGGAGCAGTGTGGTTTTTGTCCCGGTCGCGGAACACTGGACCAGCTCTATACTCTCCATCGGATACTCGAGGGTTCATGGGAGTTCGCCCAACCTGTCCACATGTGCTTTGTGGATTTGGAGAAGGCGTTCGACTGTGTTCCCCGGAGTGTCCTTTGGGGGGTTCTCCGGGAGTACGGGGTCGGAGGTCCTCTGCTGAGGGCCATCCGATCCCTGTACGACCGGAGCCAGAGCTGTGTTCGCATTGCCGGCAGTAAGTCAGACCTGTTCCCGGTGAATGTTGGCCTCCGACAGGGCTGCCCTTTGTCACCGGTTCTGTTCACTGTATTTATGGACAGAATTTCTAGGCGCAGCCAGGGGTCGGAGGGGGTCCGGTTCAGAGACCACAGGATTTCATCTCTGCTGTTTGCGGACGATGTTGTCCTGTTGGCTCCAACGAACCAGGACCTGCAGCATGCACTGGGGCGGTTTGCAGCCGAGTGTGAAGCAGCTGGGATGAGAATCAGCACCTCCAAATCCGAGGCCATGGTGCTCGACCGGAAAAAGGTGCCTTGCCCTCTGCAGGTGGGTGGAGAGGTCTTTCCTCAAGTGGAGGAGTTCAAGTATCTCGGGGTCTTGTTCACGAGTGAGGGAAGAATGGAGCGTGAGATTGACAGGCGGATCGGTGCAGCGTGCGCAGTGATGCGGTCGCTGTATCGGACCGTCGTGGTAAAGAGGGAGCAGCGTCTGCAGTCAGAGCTGTATCGGACCGTTGTGGTAAAGAGGGAGCTGAGCCGAAAGGCAAAGCTCTCGATTTACCGGTCAATCTTTGTTCCCTCCCTCACCTATGGTCATGAGCTTTGGGTAATGACCGAAAGAACGAGATCGCGGATACAAGCGGTCGAAATGAGCTTCCTCCGCAGAGTGGCTGGGCGCTCCCTTAGAGATAGGGTGAGGAGCTCAGTCACACGGGAGGAACTCGGAGTAGAGCCGCTGCTTCTCCACGTCGAGAGGAACCAGTTGGGGTGGCTTGGGCATCTGTTCCGGATGCCTCCTGGACGCCTCCCTGGGGAGGTGTTCCGGGCACGTCCCACCGGGAGGAGGCCCCGCGGAAGACCTAGGACACGCTGGAGGGACTATGTCTCTCAGCTGGCCTGGGAACGCCTTGGGGTCCCCCCGGATGAGCTGGAGGAAGTGTGTGTGGATAGGGAAGTCTGGGCGTCTCTGCTTAGACTGCTGCCCCCGCGACCCGGCAACGGATAAAGCGGAAGAAAATGGATGGATGGATGGAGTTTTTTCCATGGCTTTGGGTCATTTCTTACACCAGTCTTCACATTTTCACAACAGTTAAATGCATTCCTCAAAAGCAAGTCTTTATGTCAATGAAACTGTCTCAAAATAATGTCCTAACACCATTGAGTATGAACAACAGTCACATGACTTGACTTTTTTGCTTTATTGCATGTTCATTGTGAGTAAACTCGCAATGAACATGCAATAAAGCAAAAAAGTCAGATCTTGGAACTATACACCTGTACAGCCAAAAACTACAGTAAAATTACACATGACTATAATTAGTGAGGTAAAAGAGTACAAGACATGTATGTATGCACAAATGTATGCATGCACGTGTGTACTGTATGTATGCATGCAGGCCTTGACATTAAGCTTGGTCAGCCTCTTTCTATTTGGGCAAGTATATGGGGTAAGGTTA